TGAACAGAAAAATCATAAGATCCGGAAATCTTCTGTTATCATCAGCTTAGATATAATAAGAGTTATATTGGGGGTTTACCTGTAAATTATTTATTCATCTCTAATTATTCTGATTTATCTTGATTAAAGAGATATTTAAGGCACTTGTTAAAACTATCTACAACTACTTTTTTCCCCCACCATTAATTGTTTATTTTTAACTTAGTTTATCATTTCAGCTATTTTGTCATATTTTTTATTAAATGGAAAATTAACAATCGCGGCAATCTTATTCAAATTTAAAAAACATATGACTAAAAGTGTTGAATAATTATATATTATATTATATTATATTATTTATTAATCTGAATCAAATCAGATCAATCGTGAGAAGCTGAAATTTAAAGTTTGGAAGTTATAATAATTTTATTAATAAATAGCCTTTCACAATAAATTTAAAATCAAATATCATCAATAGCACCACGAATTGGATGTCAGTCTGACAATTTACTTTTAATAACCTCAGATCTGCACTAAAGTATGTTTGTATAGTTTGATGAAGAAAAAAATGGAAACAAGTGAAATTCTGATAGACTATTTACTTATGGCTATTTTTATGAATTGCATAACAGTTACTTTTTAAATTTCTGACGAAGCTGGACGAGTGATTTCTTTACTGAGAAAAGAAAATTCTAATTTCTAAATCCGACATGGCAATGGCACTTGGTGTAACATAAAAACTTGATACCAAATACCTCTTTCTTCTTTTTTATTAGAGGTTGTACTTTATACAAGCATGTACTTAATACATTTAAAAGCACCAGAGACGTCAGCGTGCCACGAGCATTCTGCTGTCAGCAACCTCTTTCTCTAACTACAGGCTTCCGCAGTGGATTGATCGCTAAGATACGGTTCCCAGTAGAACAAAGAAGTCAAGCATCACTGGATGCGGTCAGTGTATGGGTGGGTGACCGCTTTGATCAACCTACAAGAGAACCGAGGGAGTGCGGTATCGGTCCTCGATAAACTGTTCTACCGTGAAGTGCCCGACTTCACGCGCAGGTCATTGGGCTACCAAAGCGGAGGAGCCATCCCTCTGCAGAGG